TCCCTCCCCAGGCCTCGGAGGAGCTGCTGCACGAGCACTACGCTGAGCTACGCGAGCGCCCCTTCTACAGCCGCCTGGTCAAGTACATGGGCTCCGGGCCCGTTGTGGCCATGGTGAGTACCAGAGGGGAGACGGCATGCTGACCCCGCGCTGACCAGCTCTCTGACCCCGTGCCACCTACCCTGTCCTTAGGTGTGGCAGGGGCTGGATGTAGTGCGCGCATCTCGGGCACTAATTGGGTCAACGGATCCGGCGGACTCCCCACCCGGCACCCTCCGGGGGGATTTTTGCATCGAGGTCGGCAAGTAAGGCCGTCCCCCGCCCCGGGGACATTATCCCTGGTCCTGACTACCCCAACTGGGCATCGTGGGACCCCTGCCCGCACTTACTCCGATCTTTCCTGCACAGGAACGTGATTCATGGCAGCGACTCTGTGGAGAGTGCTCGCCGTGAGATCGCGCTCTGGTTCAGCCCCAACGAGCTCCTCTGCTGGGAGGACAGTACTGAGCGCTGGCTGTATGAGTAACAGGGCAGCAGGGGCTGGTCCTGTTTCAGGGGCAGAGGACCCAAGGCCGAGCACCCAGGGCCTCTAGGACAAACGTGCTGCAGTAGGTTGTGGAGGCCCCAGAGGTGGTGCTCAGAACACCCTTCTGTGGCAGGGTTTACAGTACCCCTCCAGGACCTCCAAGAGGACAGGTGGGTCTGCCCAAGCCTTGGCATGCCACTGTTTACAGCGCGCCTGGAAATGCACCAGAGCAGCGACCCCGGCACTCAGCTTGGTCCAGCATTTCTTTTTATAATAAACTGAAGAAAACCCTTGTGCTCACATTGGTTGGGGGTCTAGGGACACAGGTACCATGGTAAGACATTTATTACATACAGAGCAGATAACGTGGGTTCGCTTGCAGGGTCAAAGCCTGAGGAGAATCATCACCCAGCCCCTTCCCCCAGCTGCACCCACCCAGATAACCCCCCAGTCAAATGGCCCTGTGGGAACAGACAAGGGACTCGACGTACATCACAGTGGAGAGTGGCAGGGCAGTGGGGAGAAGCCTGCAGCTACATGTGACTGCAGTGGTGTCCGGCTGGGCTATGGGATGGCTGCCCAAGATCTGTGCTTCTCTGGTGGGAGGTGGGTGGGCAGCAGGGCCTGGGGGTGCCCTGATCAGTGCCTTTTGGAGCAGGAGTAAGGCCTGGGCCTAGGCAGGTGGGGAGGCAGCAGTCCAGGGCGGTGCCCTTCTAAGCAGGTGGGTGCATGCTCCTAGAGCTGGGGGAGGTGGCCCCATCCTTAGCCCTTAGGGTCTCTACTGTCAGCCTGTCAGTTGCCCTCAATGAAGAAGGCCACACCACCAGCCCGAGGCACTTAGTAGCCTGTCTTGGGAGCTGGGCTCCTTTGAGACTGCTTGGGAGGCAGGCCCTGGAGCACACCTTCCCCCATCACCCTGAGGCTGAACCTGCATCCTAGTGCCACCTCCCTCCTGCCCTTTTTCCTGAGGCTTGGGCCTGCCTGGCAGCCTGAGAAATTCCACCCTAGGGACTTCCAGGAGGGGCAGGACTGCAGGGCCTGCTTCTATAAGGTGGGTCAGTGAGGACTGGCGGGAGCCTGCCACACAGGACAATCGGGGGACATGAGCAAGATGAGAGCATCTGTCTTCTCAAACAGGGAGCCTGGATGCATGCTTTCATGCCAGTTCCTGGGGTGGCAGGGACAGGGCAGTGGGGAACCCAGGGAAGGCTAGTGGCTGGGCCGGCTCCCTTAGGGTCAGACCCCCATCCTCATGGACAGCAGGCAAGGGGAAGTGGGCCCCAGGTGGGAAGACTTGACAGACTGAAGTCCCTGCTTCCTCCCCTGGGCGTCCTGGGAATGAGTGATGAGAGTGGGGAGCCCAGGGTGCAGTTGGGAGCTACCTGGGGGGGCTGTTCATTCTGGAATTCTGCCTCGTTCTGGCCCTCCTCCAATGCCCTGGGTCTGGACTCTGGGCTAGGGGCTGGCCAGGAGCTGTTCAGAAAGGGGTGTCCCCAGAGGTTCTGTCCCTCCCACCCACATCCCACCTCCCAGCCAGACCCGTTTTGCTGCCTGCTGCCCCTGCCGGCTCCCAGGCCGGACCTAAGGTGAAAGCTGCAGGTTGAGAGGTTAGAGAGGGGCTGGTGGGCTGCCCCTTGGGGCAGTCGTGGCAGGAGGGCAGGGTGGGGTATATGTACATGATGGTGTTAGGCAGGGGGCAATGGAGGCCATGCCTCACTCAGGAGAGTAGGACACCTGCCACACGATGATGTGGCTCCGCTCGGCCTTGGACAGCATGGGCTTCACCTGGCTCACGTCCCCCACACTCTCCTCTGTCTCATCATCTTCTCCGTCGCCTGGAGAGAGAGCAGATGGCTGTGAGGGGCAGCCCCTGCTGGGGAGTCCCTGGAACCTGAAGGCAGTGCCCACTCACCGATGCGGAAATCAATGTAGCCCTCCCCACCGCTCAGCACCAGCACGTTCTTCATCTTCTGGCCCTCAGCATCTGAGGCAGGGGCGGCAGGCCCAGGGCTCTCGGATGGGCTGTCCAGTACACTGCCGTTGAGAGTGGCTAACACATTCCCTGTCATGCGGTACAGAGACCTTAGGACAACAGCCAAAGCCACCATGCATGCTCCTGAATGTAGGCTACAGGTGCTAGCCTGCAGGAAGTGGGGTCCAGCCACTCACCTGGCACTGAGACAAAGAACTTGACGGCATCCCGGTGCCCATGGAAGCAGAGCTGAGCCTGAGCCATGGAGCAGTAGGGGATGAAGCTGCTAGCCGATTTGTCAGTGCTGTCATCTCCGTAAACGTGGATGACGCCCCCTGGACGGGCCCCCTCCCCAGATGTGGGGGATGTCTTGTTGGCTGGAGATAGAGAGAGGCCTGGAGGGGCTGAGCCCACTGACTGGGAGATTTCCAAGCAGGTGAGAGCAGAGGGTAGGAGCATGCTGTGGGGCCCCCAGGGTATCTTGGGTGGGAGGCTTTTGAGAGCTGGAGGCAGGCCTCTGGACTTACCTCGGAGCCCCAGCAGCTGGCCTCGGTGCAGGACCACAGCTGGGGGAGGTGAGGGGCAGAGCATAGAGGGGAGAGGAGAGAAGAAGTCACAGGAGGGGCAGGCTTGAGGACAGCTGTGGCCAGCGCAGCCCAATGCCTGCCTGGCAGAGGACACCTGCCCCAGGACCCTGCCACATGCCCTTTAGCATCTGCCATCACCATCTCGGCAGATGTCTGGGGTCACTCACTCTCAGTCAGTGGGATGGAGATGACGACTCCGTTGCCAGTGCCCACCCAGAGACGGTTGCCCGCAATAAGCAGGGCCGTGATGCGCACGAAAGAGAAGCCCAGCTTGCCTGTGCCTGGGGGAGGGGAAGTAGCAGGGTCAGCGTTGCCTCTGGGCCCCCCTTGCCCCGCTAGGCCCAGGCCAGCACAGCCTTACCCAGCATCTTGCTGACGTAGGGCTCGATGTCCACATCCTGCAG